ACTAGCCTAAAGCTCCGTGGACAGCCAAGACAAACCTGGGAAAATTGTGTTGAAGGACTGTACTCCAGACTTGGGTTATTTTCTGCCAAAGAACAAACACTGGAACAGGATCGAAAATGTTGGAGACACTGCCTGACGAGTCTGGCTCTGTCACCTGGAAGAATAGGCGGTCATCAAAACCGACTGAGTGACATCGTAATATTTGTTTATGTACCGCAAGGTGCAGACGCTTTAAAAAAAGAGATGCTTGATCGTTAGGCAACAATAAAAAACTGCCAGTCCTAAAACGCCTTTTTTAATTATCATCACATGATGCATTCGTCGACTATTTCCTCTCCTGAAGCTGTAAACGACCGTCAAATGTACGACTATGATTTCCAACGTTGTCCTAAATCAAAGCTTGGGCGGTTTTGCAAATGTGTTCGAGCACTTTTCGTTACACTTGATTTGAATGGATGTTTTTCACTTTACACTGATATCTTTCTCTTCGTTAGTACGTGGCGACGAGGTAACGTTGGGCCTTTCAGAAAATGAACGGCCTTTGATGGATGCATTGGCAGAAGCTCAGCGAATCATGAAATTTGACGCTGTTTTCTAACATTTTTTTTGTCGAACAGGCGCTACAAACTAAGCACAACATCTCATTCAACAACGCGGTACAAACGAAATGAGACGTGGATATTTTTGAATGTATTTCCATCAAGCCGCGTAATCAGAATAGAGAGTGACGATGGTACAGCCAAACTAAAGAATCGAATTTACTCACCATTAACTTCAGATTTTTTCTCGTATGATATGCGCATCAGAGTTTTCTGAAAAAGTTTATTAAAATCATTGCTTCTCAAATATGTTACGTAGGCAGGTAAACAGGTAACGAAACAGATAAACAGTGATGCCTAAGAAACAATCTCAAACGATCCTCTTATTTGAAATTCTCTTGATGGTACACAGCAGTAGATTCTCTCTGACGTATAAAGCCAGTGTGAGTGAAACTGTCGATTCAATTCAGTTGCCGCTGCCACCTACTTTGATGCAAGGATTGCAACCACTGGTGCTATTAATATTCTAAGAAAAGGGAGTGAAACCATTTTATAGTGCGACATATTATACGATATAAGTTAAACATTTTTCGTCATGTCGTCTGTCTTTTGGAATGAAGAAAAAATCATCGACTACATGTAGGAAGTTACGAATGACGATGGACTGAAGCAATTTAGGAAATGGAGTAAGCATGCGTCCCCACGCTACTTGGATAATCAAGACCAGCAAACTTCAGTGCAACGATATTTCTTAATCTGGTACATCTTGCTTCGCACGGCATCAATCAGCGAGTTTCGATGACCGCTCCTCCTTTGAGGTTGCGGGGACAGACGCGCCATGTTGTGTGTCCAACGTGCCCGATTCTGTGTTGGCGTTTGCATATCCAGATAGAAGATAGCCCAAGTCTGGAGCAAAGACCTTCGATACTCCTGCCGCAGGATATTCTTGGTCTACCAAGGGGTCTTCAGCCAATCGATAGGGCAAGTAGCTGTTTCGTTTTCCTTTTTGAAAACACGCATAGAACATGCCCAAATCATCGCAGTTGTAATTTCCAAATTCTGAGAAGAATGTCTCGCATGAATCATATATTTTTGTTACATTCCGAATTCAACAATTGCACACAGGTGAGCAGAGTTTGAAACCATAAGAAGAAAGCGAACAAAAGACAATTGGCAATCTTGAAAATGAGTATTATCGCAAAGTACGGCTAGAAGTCATTTACCATGACAGAAAATGCATGCATGCCGGATGCAAGCATCCGGAATTGGAGTTTTGAAACAGGTTCGAGCGTTTCGTTTGGAAGTTCATATTTTTTCAGCCCCTGCTTCTTCAGATTAACAATCACAACTGTGATGGTTTGAACCCGCTTCCAAAAACGACTGCTAAAAAGCTACTAGTTATTGCCTGATCGGCTAAACCGCCGAAAACCTAGAGAAAAACTTAGAATTATCTGAAGCAAATGCCTTGACGAACCTCATTTTACTTATATTTCATACTGCTCCATTACAGAGTCATATGTAACTTAGTAGACAATTAAATCATTTCGTGATAAACACTGAATAACCAGACAGAGAAAGCATAATAAATACTGCTCCATATATCAAAGTATGTTAATTAGCTTTTAGCTAATTTCATCGCCCCTTTGCAGTGATTATGCAATGACTACCATATTTAGGTGTCAATACCGAACTCTTCATTCAACAGAGGTTGAAATGGGCTAACAGCAACTACGATTTTGTTGTAAAGAAAAAGTCATATCGTTATACACACAACTTACTTCGCCCGACAGGATTTCAGCTCTAGTTCTGTTTAATATGAAAAGCGAACCACCGTTGTAATCATAGCGTTGTCCTTTCTCCGCAGATGCCACATCTCCGGGTTGTGCCTGGTATGTTGGTATAAAAATTATGTTCAAATATATATTTTTACCTTAGTCATTGTGAATGCCACAATATAGCATAATATCTGTCTTTTCGACGTTACAGCCATGTCTGTGAAAAATCAAGGTTGCAATGATGCCAGATAAGGGCTTGCCGTAACAGAGACACAAATCCAATGTTTGCATACATGAATCATTCACCAATCAACGAGGGACTTATTTGCATTTGGCGTGAGTCATCGAGTAAACGCGATGCGATTAAAAAGACGGTAACAGAATGACACATCGTCCACCTATGGATGGCATAATACAGATCAGTTAAAATATTTGCCTTCAATTCTTTACCTAAGGTAATGGTTCAAAAACTTTCACTACAAAGGGGTCACCAATATATAACTTCCACGGGAAGTTGCATAAGGATGTTAAATTACTGCATACCGAAAACTACAGCGAGAACTTAATCTGGCGGCAGATGGATTGAAGAGAGCCGATAGACTTTGTGTCGTGCCATCGTATCATTGACATCAGCAAAGAAGCCAGTGATGGATCACTTCTGTATCAGAGCTGCCATGTTATTTCATTCTTTTGTTTCTTAAACTTATGAACCGCGTATGAACTTCCCAACGACTTGAATGCTTGCTCGACAGATGTTTCAATTTTTTCTTCACACTTTCTCCGCTGCTCATGAAATCAAAATGAGCTCATGTGACAGTTAGATTATTCTACTCATGTATTTGCATATTTGGAATGTAGTGTTGTCAAACACTTCCGGCGTCTTCCTATTGCACTTCTTTTAAGGATCCGGGAACCAGGTGTTTTTGCGAAGCCTTTTATTTCAATTTATTCGACTTTTATGCTAACAAAATGTATATATGAGTTGGAATAGATGGACATGTGTAATGGGGCCGGTTCTATCTAGATATGCTCGATAAACCAGAAAGACAAGTAACGTCGATTATTGGATCAGAGTATTCAAAAACTTTGCTACTGAGTTCTCCAGTTTCCGAATTGGACAGCATAAGTTAGTCACGATAACACTGACTGCGTGCTGAAACTTATGAGGATAGATACAGGAGAAGTGGAATGGTACGATTCGAAAACGGTTGCATTGTTTCTGCTAATCAGGTATTTTTAAGTAATGAAGCGGGTTGACAGGGTGCATTCCGCCTTAGAATGTTGGATTTTAACCCAAAAGACGTGAAGAATTTGCATTTTTATTTGCTACTTCCCTTGAGCAAAATTTACTTCGCCATGCTTCGACGCAATTAGTTCCTAAATGAGTAAATCGCCTACATGTAAATAAAAAAGGCAGCATTATGAACCGGCATGGTCATAACACAATTTGTAAGATGACAGCTGTCACCGTCCGATCTGCGTGTGTTTTGGCTGCAATTCCACCTGATCTCATTGCTGGCTAAAAATCATCAGGTGGACAACTTAAACAAGTTTAAAAGTCATAAATTAAAAGTAAAAGTAATTGCCTGCGAACGTTTTTTCACGCTTAATTTCTTTACCTCCGAAGCTCAATAGCTTAGTTACAATAGAAAAATCCGTGAATTTAGGCAAATTTATGCTTTATTGTCCAAATTTGGTTAAATGATGGTCATTGCTCTTTAAGCACGGGAAAGATTTATGGAAACCAAATTGTAAACATCGCTTTGTGATGATCTTTCATTGATCGATCAGCTTTGTAGCTCATATAAACATTTATCCTATTTTTCAGAGTTTCTTCCGTTTCAATATCGAAAAATTTCTCTATGGTTATTTAATTACAGAAGTTGAATTTTCAACTGCATTTAACAATACACGAACATTTGCGGGCGATAGCACATTAACAAAGAGATTTATTTCAAATTCAAATGTAGAGCAACCTTTTTCTTAGCAACGAATTCCCTTTTATCCTGAGTAGCAAGTTTACTTCAGGTTGCGTCGATGTAACAGAGAAAGCATGGTATTCTGCTGTAAAATAACCATATTAAACGACTTATATGGTAACGCTCTCAAACTCGAGTATCCCTTATAACTCATCTTCGTTTTGCGCAACCTCTATTCGAAATGAAAAGAATCTTGTATAAATAGTCGTTAACGAGGTTGTACTCAGTATTTGTAAATTTTTAGATTTGCAAGTTGCAATGTCTATACCTTGGTGAATACGATCAACGGTTCATTTAAGAGGTAGCTTATACGGCTGTTGAAAAGGAAAAATATTTGTCGTTGTTTGTGCTTCTACGAGAGAAATGTATTCTATGCCTTAGTTAAACTCTGTCAGTATTTTGCGTAACATAACGATACTTGATCTGGTGAAATGTATTTCAGCGGTCTCCGACGGCGATGTCAGTCTTAGATTCCAATGGCATTACGGAGGAGGACGCTGCTGAAGCGTCGAATCGCTGGGTGCGTCTGAACGTTGGTGGCCGCATTTTCCTTACCACCAGACAGACATTGTGCCGAGAGCCGAAGTCGTTTTTCTACCGGCTATGTCAGGAAGAATTTCCTTCAGACAAAGTGACCCGAAGTATATTCATTGGCGAGTTCACTCCATATCTCATGCTTTTCCGATTCAGGATTTGTGTGGAGCGTATATGATCGACCGAGATCCCGACTACTTCGCACCGGTACTCAACTACTTACGCCATGGCAAGTTGGTGCTTAATCGAAATATTGCTGAGGAAGGTATGCATCTTGGCTCACCATGAGTTTATACCTTATACCTTCTGCTAGTTGGTGTCGTTGTTTTGTTCCTTCACAATATGCCATGTCGAATATCTATCGTTTTTGTTCGTGTTCTGTCTTGGTTTCGATCCGGTTCATTTTCGTAATTCTTTGCTACATCACGGTCTCATTCCTTGTTTTTCGCCAGTTATTGCTGTTGCCCAAATCATTTTCTTAGCTCCTCGTCAGTAGGAGTTATTAATATAACTTTTCGTCCTTCAGTTATCGGTCATTCATTTTTAATACCGCGAAATTTTGGTGCCCTGGCAACTTCGCCATCGCCATTGCTCCAGGAGAAAAGTCGTTCATTGCGCTATTGATTTTCCTTGCTATAGCGCTGTGTAAGCATGGTTTTTTATACTAATTCAGGATTAAAGCAGCACTTCATGTTACATTATGCGTCTCTCTTTAGACTTGATGCGCGACAAAACCCTTGGCACCATGTTTCTTCCTCGATCTGTAACAAATTCAGTCGTGTCGATGTAGCTAATTTGCCAAGAAATGTCTACAGATTAAGCATACCTTCATCAGACAAGATTTTGCTGAATTTTTCTGTTTTTCGATTTTAATCCTTTTTGCCGTTTTTTGTACGTATTTTTTGGATCATCCGGTTGATGTTTCGGTTTACTTCCCTAGCGAACGGTATGTTTCTGCATTTTACTTTGTCGGCAGATGGTTACTTTTGTTGGGGCATTTTTGAACCGGTTGTATAGATCCAAGCAGTATGAATGGAAACTGTGAATTCAAAGGGTACATGACTTGATTAGCATTTACTAAATGCTTTGAAATGCCCAAGCGTCAGTCATTGAGTAAAGACCTTCAGCGCTAAAGCTACCTGTAGTGCTGACATTGAGACAGTGAATGACATCTTGCTGTCACCGAATTCATAACTGTTCTAGTGACCCTTAGCGTGGTTCCCTTACAAGCATGTACAACAATTGGCGGTGTTATGCTACTAGTCAGAGCTAAACAAAGGATGTTTGTTCTATTTATAGAATATGAATATCTTATTGCCTTTTTAACATGTTTCGAGGACCGATTTTATTTTTATAAAGTTACTATTATACAATTATGGGAATTAAAATTGTATGTTTATCGCACTTAGTAGGTTTATGATAAATTTTTACTTTGTGGCTGCTTGCAGGAGATAAAGAAAATCTTACGCTCTGTTTCGGTAATGGCTGGGTGTTTTGTGGGAATGGGTCACTGGGTGAATTAAAATGCTTTGTTTCATCGCCTGAGGCAAGCGGCGAAAATGTCCCCTGGATATCTTTTCAAAAATTCAGGTAACACACACGGAGGTTATTATCCATGGCCAGGTTTTCAAAGTGTCGATGAAAATTTTTGCAGAGATATAGGACAGGGCATTGGCTAAAGAAGCTCCTTTTGTTTGTTTGAAAAGCCCATCATCAAAGTAAAATTACTTGCTCCCTGCCATACAGAGCGCTGCTAGTTTTAAGTTCGCTTGACTGAGCATTAAGAGCCATGTTTTAGGTTGAGTTAGAAACAAGTTATTAATTAATGACTTACCGCATGTCTATGCTCAACAAAACACGATGTAACAGTTGCGTCAGTCTGTTTGATATATCAAAAGTTAGAAATTGCCTGCCTCCTCACAGGCGAGATTTTTCACCCTAATGCACTTTCCTCTTGCTCCTAGCTGCTAATGGAAGCATTTCAGCAGCCATGGGTTCACGGTATTTTAGCACTTGCAGTACCAGACGAATATTGTATCATTTTGTCTTTCCTCCCAACCTCCCCACTAGGGCCATCTCATGCTTCTCCTCATGAACAGTGTTTCAGGATCGGTTACTCTTTGTAAGCTATCGCGTGAACATAAATAATACCACGGTCTTCATACATCATGCGGGATGGCTCTGGATAAAAAAATTCTCTGCTTTTAATAATAAATATTAATATTGTTCATTGAAAGAACGATTTCCAGTTGAAACGTGAACATTTCGTATTCAACGGTTTCTCTTTAGGTGTGCTAGAAGAGGCGGAGTTCTATAATCTAGTTGGCTTGATACAGCTGTGCAAGGAAAGAATCGCGCTGAGAGATGGAATAGCCTCAAAAGTATACTCATATTTCCTGTTTGACGTACTCTGATTCTAATGGGCTTATTCTTTACTTTAACATTACAGACGAAACACGTAT